TTTCTTCTGCGTTTAAAACTGACAGTCGAGATAACTGAAATTTACGTCATCGGCTGATTGCTTAGGCTATTTATTTCATAAAAAACATTTTAAAATATAGCCTGCATTTATCAGAAGGTAACCTGAACCAATATCCAGTTCGGTATACGTTACCCGTCAAATACGTGAGGAATATATTCCATATACCGTTAACCTACTCGAGGAGCATAATCCTATCAACATGCCGGCTGCTGCTGTTTAACACCCTTGAGACCACTAGTTTCTACGGTTAACCCTTTTGCTACGGCACGCTAAATTGCATCTTTGAGGTCTGGTTAGCAGCAACTCACAAATATGTTGTGATCATGACACACCGCATGCTTTTTCTATGTCTTTTTAATAAGATGCTTTGTATCATAAGACGACGACGGTGTCAAGTTGCGAAAAAATCAGTTAAATAAAGTACACTTGAAAGTTGTGACTCTCTACAGGTAGAAAAAAACTGTAATCTCTGCAAAAAGTCATTACATTTTGTAAACATGTCTATGTGTAAGACAACTCATTCAGTGTGTCAAGAAAATTGATTTTTAAGGAGAAAAAACGTTGTATAAAGCCGTCAAGTGGATCCGGCAACGTGATCGCCATGTAAAAATAATATTTTACAACGATCTTTCCCTTCCTCTCCTCCGATGACGTATTGTGGGCAACGCGTAAACACGGAAGTTGATACAATTCGCCCCTCGGCGCGCCGCACATGCGTGTGACATAACTACAGCAATCTCGACCGTATTTCACCGGATGTGCAGCCGTGTGACAGGCAGTATGCAAAACGCGTGCGTGTTCGCGAGCGTGAAATTACACGCCGCGTTCAAGTAAACCCCGAGTTACGTATATGTGTGCGCGTGTAACGCGAGCGATCAGCGCGGAGAATCGAGCCGCGCGGAGGGCGAAAACCCTTACTTCGGGATTTCGTAAATGGACGCGCGCTCTGCGCGCAATTAGTGTAATAAAGTGCTGGATGTGCACCTGGCGGTGGAATTGCGTATTCATGTGCGCGCTAATTCACGCGCCGGGTCTGACGCCTCCGCCGTTGACGTTGGCGTATAGCTAATACTGATTCGATAAAACAGAGATTGTGCATGACAAATGGAACGTGCGTGAACGTCGACGCTATCTTGCAAGCGCGCTTATGTAGACAAGCTATGCGATATATATTTTGAAACACGACTAAGCGGACTGTTGTGTGTTTTGTTTACAATCGCAACGATATATGTCAGACAAGATCGAAAGTATAAAATGCATCTTTTATTATTTAATAGTTTTAATAATCATTTAACCGACAAATTATTATTTCAAGATTTGTTATACGTACATTAGGGCTTTCATACGATCATGTGTTACACATTGTCATTTTTTAATTTAATTTTGTATTGATCTTTTGTAAAGAGATAAATAGATGAATTTTATCACGTAATAAAAGAACGTGCACAAGTAATTTGCAGGTATGATTTTCGGTTTTATAGGTCGAGAGCAATTTCACGAATATTTTGTATTATTTATGATAATTGAATGATCGTAATACAGACAACTACGTTATTAACCGCAAGTGCGTTCAGCTTAATGGAAATGCGTATGCGGTCTGATTCGTTCAATAAATGATGATGTTGTAGCGATCTTGCGTATGTAACGAATTCACGTTTAAATGGTGAATAACGAGACCGTTTCCCTTGCGAGTGTAGAAAGGTCGTACGTGCTGTTTGTACAATCATAATTAACCGGCGCGCGCGGCCCTTTCCTCTTCTCCGACAATTTTTTCCGCGCTCTCTTCCGTCGGGGTCAGTAATTAATCGCATAGCGCGAATGACGTTTTATTTAATTTCGTCATTATATCTGGCTTCAAGCGTACGAACGTGGATGAGAGCCGACGGTAATAATTAAAATCTTTCGGTTCGGCAACTCACGCGTCGAACCGTACGTCGAGATGGGAACGTGTTGTACGAGAGTGCAAAGGTTTCAACGACGGGGTTTGGTTTCATTAATATTTTCCGGCCGAGCAAAAAGTCACGCGATGTTTTTAGTTCAAGTAATTATTGATGGACAACTCTCTTTCGTTCAGCACATATCACTTTACATGTGTGTATATCCAATATTCGCGACGTATATGATTGTTTCTCCCGAGTTGTTTTAATACACAGGAATCTTAAGGATTGCAAACACAATCGTGCAAATCCTTTCGTATTACTAGTGATGTCAAAATATATTTTTACGTATAACTTGTTTTTGTAAATTCGTCGTATGTATTATATGCAAAATGAGTAAACAGAAAAAAGTGTGACAAAAAGTACGTTTCACGTGTGCGGCTATATCACTTCGGTTGCATTTAGGCGACATGCAAATGATATCCGGTGCGATTTAATTGAAAATGTAATAATCCGCCAGCTTGTCAGCGGAGACAAGATTAAAAAAACGCCCTCTAAAGTTTTCAGAGATTCTCACGAAGGAGACTCGCGGAGAGAGTTTACGAATTTAATATACATAAAATGTAGGTAGGTATAATCCGGAGTACACGTCTGTTCGGAGATCAGTTTGTTATAAAGAAAACTTGGCATGCATATCTACATAAAAATTATATAAATTATAAATATATAATTGCGATGCAAAACATATTTGCTTAAAATTCTCGCAAATATAACGTGGATTTAACTTATCTTTCTTTAAAAATAATACAGCACAAATACTGCGAAAGAAAGTTAAGTCTCGTACACACACGTGCAACAGCACTCATTCAATTAATTTGTCCTCTTGTTCCTGCCGATGGAACGTCGAGATATTGCATCATTATTTCAGAATATACGGAAAAGATGTAGAAAAGACGATACTGAATTGAAACGAGGTAGTTCTCGTTCATGTAACGTATCTGCGAGATACGTCTCAGGTTGGATATCATCAGATCAGATAAGTACGCTTCCGCCGTACAGAAGAATTATAGACCGCACTATGCCGGGCGTGAAAAAGATGAATCAAGCCGCGCAATGCCTTCTGTTTGGCATATAATACGGTTGAAGTACATCATTTGTGAAAATAATGCCTGCCGCGCGGCATTGGTAAGAAGTATCCTGCAAGGAATATTAATACGATGAAAAGTTACTTACAATGCGCACGGCGACCATGTTACATGGTATATTCGACGAAAGAACAAGCACAGAATAATGACACAGAGATGCCGCAGACACATAATTAATATTTAAAACTAATAAATACACACAAATATCTATTGTTTATAATTGAGAATTTTAATATCAAAAAACCAATTACTTAATCCGCTGACAAATCCGGAACTTCAATTGCGCGTATCTCTCTCTCAAAACTTGTTTATTATCTTTGTTATTTTTTTCCTTTCTTTGCAGATAAAGAAAGTCGTGGTTTATCGAGAAAATGCCGTCTTATCAGAGCGGCGGATCGAAAACGTTCGGTGCACATCGCGAAAATCTCCGAGTCGGAATTAATCGCATAATCTTGTTCCGCTGCCACGAGCTCCTCTAATTAGCGCGGCATTAAGCCCGGAGATTCGCGCCCTTATCTTCGGCCACATGTAGTAATGTCGTAACGTGTATGCGTGCAAATGTTGAGATGTCATGCTTGCGCGCGCGTGTGTGTATGCGTGCGCGTACATATGCGCACCTGTTTCGATACGGTCGGAGTTTAGGGCGATTATCAGGTGCGTATTTCGAGTAATATACGCAATCCGGAGGCTTGGTAGGTAAACTCTCTACGAGCCGTCTCATATATACGCACTCTCACTCGGCACGTTACGACACTCGGTTAAACGGCCGAAATTCCTGTAGCACGGCTGCTCAGCGACCATACGACCACACTTACTTCGAACATTATATTTACACTGATTATTTAAATAATCGCAAAATGCATTCCTTAAATATTTCGAACACGGAGTTTTTCTCAAGAAGTATTTTATGCATTATTTAAGAAAGCGATTTTGCAGTAAACTGTTTAACGTTTTGTTACATCAAGATTCAAGGATCTCTCGATTATGCCTAAAGGGAATGATTTTGTTTAATATCACAGAGATAATTTTGATGAGATATTGAGAACCGCGTCATATCTTTCGTTATATCAAATGCACAAGCTACTTCTTTCTAGATCATGAGAAGTTGACCGAAGATTTCATGTATTCTAATGAGCCATGATCTTCGTGATACGTGAAGACACGAAAGATCTCCGTCGCAAGATGTTAGAAGATGCTCCGACCGATGCAAGGCAAGCACTTATCTGCTTACACGTATAAAGAGCAGAACCCGCTCGAGGCAACGACGATGTATTAATCTTTCGAAAACGCGTCAAACATGCGCGGATGCGACGGACATGTATACTAGCTATCGCAATCGACGACATCAAAATTCCGCGGCGCTCTGCACTCGATACCCAGTCTGATATCTCGGGTGCAACCATCCATACAAATCGGATCTTACTAAATTGGAGTACAATTTTCACGAGCGGAGCTCTTCTCATGAGCTCGAGTCACGAAGGTGGGGTAAGAGAAAAAAAGGAGAGGGGGAGTAAGATAAAAGTCTCTATCCCTCTCTAAGCCGACCGTGGAAGATGAAGCGAATCAAGTAACAGCGGTGGCTTACGTGCAATGCACCCCTAAACCGTCGCTGAGGGAGCATCACGTGGAAACGCGTTACCCACAGAAGGTCTGTGCTTAGAATTCTCAAGCTCGATAAATTATATTTCAAGGCACGAAGTCGATGATTTCTGAAATACATAAGTCGCGATGATAATCTCATTCCGTTAGTTGCGTTGGGCAATGTCGTAACGATTCTTTTCGCGGGAATTTGAAATAGAGGGAGAAAAGATAGGAATTGATGATTGCTTATATGAGGAAATGTGTTTTGTCAAGAGATTTTTACAAATCAAAGAATATATAATTATAATCAAATTGCTTAAATCAGAATAACGCATTGTTGAATATTTAATGCAATTTATTTATATGTATATATACATGTGATAAATTTGCTATATATATTTAAAGTAATTGTTTATAATAGTCTCATTTTCAAACAATTATCCTACAATAGCTTTTAATCGTCACTTCTAGAGTCGTCGCTGTCATCGTCGTCACTGCTTGAGTTGTTCTTGTTGTTGTTACTCTTATCGGACTTATTGTTGCTTTCACTATTAGATGAGCTGTTGCTTTTACTATTAGATGAACTGCTGCTTCCACTGTCAGGCAAACTATTACTTTTATCGAATGAGTTATTTTTATCATCATCATCGGATGAGCTTTCATTACTATTATCGGACGAGCTATTGTTTCCATCATCACCGCCAGGAGTGCTCGGATTTTCATTGGGTGTGCTTGGGTCATCACTAGGAGTACTATTGCTTTCACTGGGAGTGGTGTTACTTCCCTCATTATCACCGGAAGTGCTGGCAGGTGTGCTACTATTTCCGTCATTATTACCTGGTGTAGTACTACTTCCTTCATCACCATTGGGAGTACTGCTGCTTTCATCATCACTACTTGAAGTGCTGGAACTTCCATCATTATCTCTTCCATCAGATGTGCTAGCATTTCCATCACCATTACTTGGAGTGTTACTAGTTCCGTCACTATTTCCTGGTGTAGTGTTACTTCCTTTATCATCATCGGCAGTACTACTGCTTCCGTCATCATTACCTGGAGTGCTAGAACTTCCATCATTATCTCTTCCGTCAGATGTGCTACCACTTCCGTCACCATTACTTGGAGTGCTACCAGTTCCGTCACTATTGCCTGGTGTGGTGTTACTTCCTTCATCATCACCGGCAGTACTACTGCTTCCGTCATTACCTGGAGTGCTGGAACTTTCACCATCAGATGTGCTACTACTACTTCCGTCATCACCTGGAGTGCTGTTATTTCCGTCACCATCATCGGGTGTGCTTCTATCACCAGGTGCATCACTGCTTGCAGTAGTTGGCTTCTCCGTTGTTGTTGCAGACAACTGACTTATGGCATGCGCTGTTATGTGTACGTGTAAGCCTTCTCCGCTTTTTCGTGCAACAGCGAGTATCACTATATTATTATTGCCGATGCCACCTTTGGTTACTGTAAAATCGGCAGTTTTGTTTCCCATGTTTGTCATCTCCACTCGGTTGATAACATCTTCTAAATTTTTACCGGACGCGCCGATTCGCGCCATCATTTGTTTTCCAGGGATAGGAGGCTGTAATATATAAATAAAAGCTAACCACTTATGTATCATTTGAGTTAAGAATAACAGTGAGAGTGTAAATATCAAAAAACATTTAAAAAATAGAGTAACAAAGAATAAATGCAGCAATGCATCAAATACGTCAGAAGCTAACGAAATAAAGCAAATTAAAATAAAAATAAATAAAATAAAATAAAAACTTTTTTTATATATATATAGAGTCTACATTTAGAAAAGTAAGAGTATAATTATAAGTAGATGCTATACAGAATGTTATCTTAAAACTTATTGGAACATCGATGAAATGGAAATGTTAACAAAGCTTTAGCCATAAATTACCACAAGTGATCATAAATTATGATATAAAGCACAAATAGAGAACGTAAAACGCATGCAATAAAGCTAAACATACTAAATATAATTCTTTTACTATCTTAATGACATAATCTATGTTTATATGTTTAAAAATTAAATGACATACTAATCTAATAAAAAAGTTAATTAAACTTTAAAAAGTACTAAAACTCTTATTATTTAACACATGTACAATATTATGATGGTAAAAATTTTATAAATGCCTTATTTACCTTAAAAATGGTTCTATTAGTCGCAACATAATCTCCTTCCTGACGTTGACCTAGAAAAAGATCTTCTGCTCTTATGCAGACAGCTACAGAAAGGCACAAAACCACAAAAAGTAAAGCGCGCATATTGCGAAATTGAGATTGTAAACTCGCATGTACCACCTAATATCGTACTGTTTGTGTGGCAGTTTAGAAACGCTTTTATATACTTTGTCTTATCACTTTTCACGCGTAATTCCACTAAAAAAAGCGTAGCATGAACTCAAAGATCTTTATCTCGACATTGATAACAATTTACGTAAGATTATTTGTTTTGTTTCTTGCTGCTCCCCTGCAGATTGTAAGAACTTATCATATTTTCTAACGTGACTCAAATATATATCTTATCTTAATTAACAATGCATTAATTGCATACGTCCAACTATTATTTGTAAGAAATATACACGCACACGTATAATAAATAATAATAATATAATAACAATATCTTTATTAAAAAGACGCAAAATAATTAAATACAAAAATTTTTTAACACAAAAATATCGCAAAGTATGCTTTTTAACAGGTGAGACAGCTTAGAACAAGGCTGTCTTTACTCTTTGAAATATGCATTCTAATAATTATAAAAGTATAAATCATAATAATTATAATAACGCACAGAATTTTAGTTGCGTTAAAAAAATTACAATTAAAAAAAAATGAATATCTCTTGCGCGTGTAGTAATCTTTTTGTAGTATATTTTCTTGATATAGCTTTGTTGTGTCTTTACTTTTTCTTATTGATCGCTTGCTGGTGGTCTGATATCAGTAGATATCAGTGATAATTGTAGAAGGTGATTAATTGAATAATACTCACAAAAGAGATTGAGCGGCATTAAACATTATCTGGAAAATGCCGTATCATGAATAACGAGTGTGACTTCGATGAAATGGAATATTTCAAAATCTTTTATCAGATCACGTTCTTTCTGTTAGATTCCAAGAAATGACAGAAATAAAACGGATGACTAATTATAGAAGTGTCACAATCACTGTAATTTTTTCTTGCATCTTAATACTTTTTTCATCATACGCAATTATACAATATTGATTTCTGCTTGTAGTAAATTTCTCAATAACAAACATTATTACGTAAATATATTCATTTTAATAATCATTTACGTATATCATAATGAATAACATATTTATCTTTGTTTGACAATATTTATTTATTTTTTTTTTTAATACCATTTTTATCCACATCGGTAATGTCTTGGCTTTTTAAGATTTTCATGTCCTTGCCGACCATATCGCGCAAATTAATTCCTTTTCATAAATTCAACGCAAAAGAGCGTTTCATATTCCATGCCATAACTCGAAACGTGTTCCTCGGTACGTGTGTAATCTCGAATCTCAGACTCATCATTTTCAGCTGCGTCAGCTTATGGTACGTGAGACCGTAAGAATTAGCTAAGTGAGTAGCTACGGTAGTAGCTTTGCGGCTTTTATAGATGCAGAGAGAGATCTTGTCTACGCGATGAACGAATCGATCATACAAAATTGACGAAAATATCTTTTATTATTACCGAGAAGATATATAGAAATATTTTATTATTCTCCAATAGTCGGTTGACGTTGGAAAAGCGATACGTCCGGTCTACTCGTTATATTAATATTGAATTTCCTAAACCTGTTGAAAGAATAAAGTCCTTTTTAAAATTCAGTTCTAATACCGAACTGAAAATTCGTATTCACGACGTTAAACATGTCTGTAAAATGCTTAGACAGGTCACTAATTTTCTTACGTTTGAGCACGTAATTTAAGAGTATAGATCCCTTTTTCTGTTAACAAACTAAGCGTAATTGTTAATTTGTCATGTTATATAAATATTTTATTTTATAAGATTGTCTTATAAGATATATTCAAATTTGTTCGAAATTGAGAACACAATATTCTTATTATTTTCGATTTAAGTAAAAATCTAAAATTAACACTGAAGTGAAAAAGAGAATGAATCAGAGTAAACAAGTGAAAGACGCACTGTTCGTGACGTCACGCAAATCATACTATCTTAGTGAACAGATTACGCACATGATTTTTTCGTGTTTTAAATGTTTGCCGTGCAGACGTCACAAAAACTCGGGACAAATTGTAAATATTTTCTTGGGGTAAGCATCTCCTTTTTTAATTACTTAGTTTTTTTTGTGTTACTTTACATTGCACAACTAATCGTCACAATCACGGTCTCAATACACACAAAAAATCTTTTTATTATGTAGTTAAAAAAACAAAAAACGAAACGTATTAATATCTTTTTCAATCTCACGCATTTGAACGTGAGGAAGAATATTGTAAATTTTTTATTGAAGTTTTTTTTCAGATTAATTTTGCACGACAAGGTTGCGATCTTGCATAATAGATATCTGACGGGGTGAATGGTTAACGATCGCCTTCGAAAAGTTTTTTTACGTACAAATATGTAGACGCGCGCTGCACCATCGTATCTCGACGTTGCGTATGTGTTCACGCGGCTGCTGATAATTACTCACGTCACGTAGCGTTGGTGCTGGCCACGGATGCCATTTTTTATACCATCAAGAGGTGCCAGCACGAACGCGCAGCTCGCCGCCATACAGTGGATAATATCGGCCAGTGCTTTTTATTAGCGCGGCGAAGAAGAGAGAAAGAGAGAAACACACCGGCGTATCGATCCAATAAACGCCGTCACGTCGGCTCGAGCGAGAACAATCGCAACAGAGGATAAAATTCTCCGCTTGATCTGACCGCGAGTGGAAATGGCACGTCACGTACGGACGATCTCTTCTTTCATTAACGTTACGAACGTTTCACGCATCGCTCCTAATCACTGCCCACGAGTACAAGCGATCACGAACATCGTGAAAAGAAACTACCCCATTTACACGTGCGAGTATGCTCGTGTTTCCACAATTCCCGTTGGACTAAATCTCAACTAGGTGTGGTATCAAATCAACTCTTTATTTTTAATTTTATTTTTAATAGTAATGTGTACATATAATAATATCGACTTGTTATATACCTTTCCAAAGAGGAAAATATAACGTTTCTATTTTTTATCTAATGCGACAGATTGCAAACGAAATAAACAACATCGAAATCACTTTCGTGTAATAATTGAAACTAATTTTATCGTACGCTAATATTATTATCTCTCGCATATATTGTTGCTGCTATTGCACGCGCGATAATAGAGAATCTCTGCTTCACATTGCTTCACATATTTTCGAAAACCCGCTGTCGATCAGAGAACATCGATTCGATAAATATTGAACTGGGTGGATATCAATCACCATCAATGCGTCTTGTTTTGAGCAAACATGCAAATGGCCGAGTGCGAACATGTTCCCTCCTTGCGGTGACATCGATATCGCATACGTATCACGCATCGTTTGTCATCATTATACGTGGCGTAATTAAAACTTTCCGACTTATGATGAAGGATTATACGCGACCTGATTTCTACGAAAATAAAAATCACGCGACGTGCAGGAAGCGTGATAGAAAAATATGTAGCTGTAGATTTAAAACGAACCAGCTGACGGGCAAAAATTGAATTACATATTTTCCTGATTCTGCGAGAATCTTTGCATTTATAAGTTCAATCGGCATGAGCGCGCATTTGGCTTCTTTCTTAGAGACGTCGACCAGTGACGTCGTTGGCAATCGACACATGTGAGTTGGAGTAATACCGTAGATTATGCATCAGCGTTTCTCGCTCAATGGTTCTATGTTCAATGATTCGTGAGTCGCTATCTGGTTCACGTGACCGCCGCTCGCCCAAACTTGCTTCTCGATAATAGTAGTTCTACCCGTTTAGACTGAATATACGTTTCCACACATACATACATACACATACATTTACTCACTAATATAATCTCTTTAGTATAAGCTTCTCTTAGATAATATTATTTAATTTGCGCGAAATTCAATTTATTAATATGGACATCTAAAAATAAAATCTCTCTATAAAACTCTCGCAATATCGAGATACGGTTTTTGAATTCGGCTCGATATCTGCTCAAATCACCGCGAATATCTGACAAACGACGTAAATGAGAAATAATCAAATTCGAAACGAGCTATTTGGCTTTATTTCATTATGTCGCATAATTTGCTCGTCATCTTATCTCTAGCCTGATAGAGAAGTGTCTTGTTTGCCTATCGAGATACAAATAGTAAGATCGATCATCCGGAGCTGCACGGATCCGGAACACCACCGTTCGGATAATGGATCGGATGTATCTGTGAATCCGATCCACGTGCGCGCGGATGTAGGGTTGAAACTCTCCGCGTTCGGAGCAGCCACATTCCCTGTAGAGACAAAACAATTTTATCGGTCGCGACGTTATGTTGCCACGATATACCGAGGGCCAAGTATTTTCGTGAATTATATACGACGGGCGGCCGCTCCCTTTCCCCTCTGGGACCTCGGACGGAAAATGTTTGAGGTCGTCTCGTCGCCGTCGCCTATCTCCGCCTCTCCGTCGTGCGTCCTTCTGCAACTCTCTTTCTTCCACAATGAAATCTCACGCTCGGTGTATCGCCTGAAAATTTTGAAAGGAACTGTCGGGTAATTTCCTCGAATATGATTCACTCGCGACAGAAAGGTAACTCTCTTGTCCGACGTCGACGACGATCGGCATGAGCTTTTCAAAGAACAAGCGAAAATCAAGCACGCGTGTATCAATCGCGAGTACCAATCTTCAGTCCAACGAGGAGAGAGTGATTTTTATTTCATTGCCTCTTTGATATTTTGGATGTCCGCTCGTCGTGCAACGCCTTTGCTTCTATGGGCTTTTATGTAGACATGCGTCGATCCGAATTCTTGAACTTAATATCTACGCGATGCAATATATACAGTTTTGTCGAGAAATTCTAGTTGTTTCCGATTGCAGACAAAGTGATCAACGAATTCTTTTTCAATCTTTTTCTTGCGTTCAATCTGTTGATAAAAATCGGAAGTACTTCTTTAAATATGTTGAAGAGATAATAAGTGTAATCGATAACAATACAACTTTATTGAAGAGGAATGTTTTTAGTAACGTAACGAAGAGATGCTGCAAACTGCAGTTGCGCTTGATTGAATTGTGTATATTCTTTTATTTTATTTTAGTTTTTATACAAACAATTGCAATTAGTTTCATCAAAAAGTTTTTTTACACAAATTTATTTAA